AGCGTCACAGAATGCCAGGTTGTTAGAACAAAGTGTTCTTGGATTGAGGGAGGGCTTGAGCAGAGGCCCAAGGTCCATCCACTTAATGTATTGCCATTTAAATATATACATAGGTCAATACCTCTAGTTTTATGAATTAATATATTTACATAAGTGCACACCTATGTTCGTAACATCTCATTCTTAATGACCTTCAGTTTTCCCAGATGCACACTTTGTACATTCAAAGCATCAGTTATTAATTGGTGTTTCCATTTGATATTTCTCCTTTTGGGTCATACCCCACCAGCAAATGCAGGTTCTGACAACTTTACTCCCACAGGTTTTACTGTAGCTCAGTCATTATGGGCAACTGTAATTTGATAAGGCAGCTAACTCTTCACTCATTTTTGAGTGCCTTTTGACCTGAGGAGCTCAGCTGTCATTATCTCTGCCAATGTTTACCTTCCATAAATAAAGTTTTCAATATATGACAATGATTTTCCATGGCTACTTCTGCTGAAGTAGACCACCTTCTTTGTATTCTATTCTTAGTCTGGATGTTCTGTTGGAACCTGTTCACTTTGGGTGACCTTCGGGTACTGGAAATATCAGTGACATGCCTTCAGTATCCCAGCCACACAAAAGACGTCACAGGACAACAAACTGACAGACATGTGGTGCATATCATATATAGGGAAAACAAAGGCCTTAAAAGGACAGGAAAGAAAGTCAAAAACAAAGTGAATGTCAGAAGAGATTCTGACTGAAACTTGATTCTGAATGTAGAGTAGCTAAAACAAATGGAATGAATGATGAAGTAAAAGCTAAAAAAAATTCAGAGGGCAACTCAAGAATAGAGTGTTATTAGGACATGTGCAGAGATCTGGAGTTGAAAAACAAAAAGGAAGAACATGTTCAACATACTTGCTTCCCCAGAAGATTCACCACAGGTGATGGAAACTTACAGTGCTTCCTCAATTATTGGAATTTGGGGTGGCATGTCTACAAATTGTACCTTCCAACAGCAGAGGTGTAGCACATCTTTTCTCTGCGGGACCCTCTCAGTGAGGATGGTGAGGGATTCATTAGGGCCAGCTTACTTGAAGTGTAGGTTTATAAACACCCCCACAAGATTTATTGGCTATTTCTCCCACAACTTGAACCTTACACCTTCTGACTCTTCTGTTAAGCCCACACAGGACCTAACCAAGTTTTCTAGAACTTACATTCCAGGAGTTGGTATCTTTGTTCTCCTGTAATACAACATCATTTTCCTTCCCTGGGATGAACCTAATGGGAAAGCAGGACATCAGGCCCATCCAGTGTAGATTTCAGATGTCCTGTGAGTCCACTCAGCCTCTACAAGATGCCCCAAGGGTAGGCCCATCCCCTTGCCTAGGAGAACTGTGTGGGCAGGCACTTCAGAGCAGTGGTGGCTGAGGCTTCGTGCTGCATCAGGTTCTGGGTTGCAAGGACCAAGAGCTTGGGTGGGTTTCTTTTTTTCATGCTGATGAATCTATTCCAGTAGAATTCTGATCTGTACCCCTAGGGTGGATCTGCTGAGTCCTCAGAGAGAGCCAGAGTGGTTTCAGCACTCCAAGCCCTGGGCTACTCCTTAGCTCCTTTCTGATCACACCCCTCTCTTTAAAATGGCTGTGGACACTGGTCAGTAGCATGTCTGTGGATCAAATGCCAAGCTAGCAGCTTTTCCCTACTTGAGTTAGTATAGTGGCTACTGAAACTAAGATGAGCAGGTCAGATTGAATTGTTTTCAGGACAACAAATGCCAAGATCAGCAAGAAATACAACAAATGTTTACTTACTGACATCCTTGACCACATTACTATGGATTCAGTTGTTGTTGTTAAGTGCTAAGTCATTTCTGACTCATAGGACCCTATTTACAACAGAACCAGTCACTGTCAGATCCAGCACCATCCCTGCAATTGTTGTTATATTCAACCCCATTGTTGAACAAACCGTCTGTCCATCTTGTTGTGGGTCTTACTCTTTTTTTAAGCAGTGTTATTGGCACTTCATCCACATGTCATACAATTCAGTAATTCAATCATATCAAGAAGAGTTGTACAATCATTACCAAAATCAATTTAAGAACATTTTGCTCTTCCTTGTATTCATTCTTATTCATGGAATTATTTCTTTAATTGTGACAAAAACTTATACAACAAATGATTCTCTAATTCAAAATGTCTCCATGTTTGAACCAGTGCCATTTACCATACCCTTCAAGTTGTACAAACATTGATATCTTTACCCAAATTATTCCACCACCGTTAACATCAACTCAATGTCTCCTAAGCAAAAACTCTTCCTGCTGCATCATGGGACCCATTAGTCATTTTTTTGTTTTTTAGTAGTTTTCTTGATATATTATTAACATATCTTACACTTCCAAAGGTAAATTGCTTTTTAAGAGAGTTATGTAAACATCATGAGACTCAATTATAATGCTTTCCCACTCTTGCTTTCCTTGTGTCTTCCAAAATTCCCTCACACTACCCACGTCCCCATAAACCATTGTATCAGTTATTGTCTCTATTGATCCACTCCTTCTGTACTTCAAAAACTGGGAAATAACAAAAGAAACAAGAAAATAATACTATAAAATAAAAGTAAAGAATAAGAATGAAAAGACCACATAAAATATTTACAAAGCTAGAGAAGAAATTTTGGTCATGGAACAAGCAAGAAATATTTAAGCCTAGAGCAAATTTAGGTTAGGTCAAGAGGGAGGTCAACTAACCAAATATACTGTATTGTGCTTTGATCTACCATAAAAAGTTCACAAGAATCTCCATCTGATAACAAAGTGGTTCTAGTCCCTTGCTCGTGGATAGAAGGGTTTTACCAGAGACTTCATCTGACTACAGATGGATTTTGGGCTCCCACTGGATTTTGTTTTCATCTTTGGATCACACGGGATGGTGCGCTTGGTCCTTTACTCATCATACCAGTTATGCTTGAAGCTGAAGAAAATTAAAACAAGCCCATAACAACCAAACTATGACCTTTAGCATATCTCACCTGCATTTAGAGACAATGTGAAGGATAAATCAGATGATTGATCACTAATGAGTAATGATCAGATTCATGTAATATTTCAGCAAGTTGATGAAGCAGTGGATACAGCCACTTGTATTTGCCAAGAAATATAGGAGAAAAGTGCATGTCTAATCTATATGAGATCCAGATTTGTGCCCATTTCAAAGAAAGGTTACACAACAGAGTGTGGAAATTATTGAACATTATTATTAATTTAAGATACAACTATTGTGTTGAGGTTAATTGTAAACTTATTGCAACTGTAGTCAGATTGAGAAGAGGACTTGGCCCCAGGGATATCATTCCTGACATCTGATGGGTCTTGGCTGCCAACTAAGAACACCAGAAAGATGTTTGTGTTTTAGTGACTATACAAAGGCATTCAACTGTGTGGGTCCAAGAAAACTATGAATAGCATTGAGAAGAAAGGGAATTACAACACTTCTCTGTCATCAGGGGGCACTTCAGAATATCATGAGGCCGCTGTTGAACAAACAAGGAAGTGGTTTTGAATGAGGAAAGGTGTGCTTTAGGGTGGTATTTTTTTCATATACTATTTCAATCTGTATGTTGAGCAAATCACCCAAGAAGCTGGGCTATATGAAGAAAAGTGGGGCATCACAATGGGGAAAAGCTTATCAGCAAATTTTGATATGCAAAGGGCACAGCCCCACTTGCTGAAAACCAGGGTACTTGAAGCACTTGTGCATGAAAATCAAAGACTTTAGACTCAGTATGGATTTAACTCAGTGTGAAGAACATGGAAATCTTTATGACTGGACCAATAGACAATTTCAGTATAAAAGGAGATAAATTTGAGGCTACCAAGGATGATTATTTTCTTAAATGAACAATGAACACTGATGGTAGCTTCAGTCAAGAAATCATGAACATATTTCATTGCACAAAAGAACTCTTTAAAGGTAAGATGGGGTTGGGAGGAAAAAAAATGAGCTGATAACAAGGGCTCAAATAGAAAGAAAATGTTTTGAAAATAATGGCAACATATGTATTACAAATGTGCTTGACACATTGGGTGTATATATGGATTGTGATAAGAGTTGTAAGAGCCTCCAATAACATGATTTTTTTAAAAAGAACTCTGGTTTTCAAGAGAAATATTGTCAGTTTGAGGGATAAACTGAACCTGACAAGCCATGATACTTACAAACACTTCATATGCATGTGAAAAATGGACAGTTAGTTAAGGAAGCTCACAGAAGGATCAATGCATCTGAATGAAGATATTAGCAAAAATTAATGAAACTAATGTGGATTTTCAGAAGAGCAAATCAATTTTCTTGGAAGAAGTATAGCCATAAAGCCCAGAGAGTAAAGCCAAAGTTCATTTCAAGCACTTTGGATATGTTATCAGGAGAGACCTGTCCCTGGAAAACAGACATCATGCTTGGTAGAGTAGTGGGTCAGTGAAAAAAAAAAGATGAAATGACATAGTTTGTGGAACAATGGCCCGAAAAAGAACAAAACCAGTGAGGATTGCCCAAGACTTGGTTCTGCACAGGGTTTGGTTCTGTTGAACATAGTGAGTCAGAAGTGACTTCACAGCATCTAACAAGAACAGCTGAATTTACAACAAGGGGAGCAATTATGTGAGTACGTAAAAATGTCAACAAAGGATGTGGCTTGTTCCTTGTAGATCTCTAAATCTGTTTGCCTTGCAGACTGTGAATCAGCAATGTTCAATCTGAGCTGCCCATCGTGGGCTCAATGGTCATGACACCTACGTGAGTCAGGAGAAGCCTCCAGGTTGGCTACTAATCCATGGACATAAGACTTTGCAGCCTCTTCAAGCACCATTTACAAAAGGGAGGTATGTGTCCATAAGGTATATAAAGGTTTCTGAGGAGCCAAGGAGTAACAAAGACCTCGAATAGGTTTAGCTGTCTTCTCTAAGCAGACACAGGTCAGAATTCCTTTGGAGTAGATTCACCAGCATGAGCATCAACAGCCCACCCAGCCTCTTCGACGTTGCCATCCTGAGCCTATTGCGTGATGATACCTCAGCCATCGCTGCTCTGGAGTGCCTGCCCATAAACCTCTTCCCACCCCTGTTCAAGGTGGCCATCACCGGAGGACACTTCAAGACAGTGACAGCAATGGTGGGAGCCTGGCCCTTCCACTTCCTTGCTCTAGGGTCTCTTTTGGTGGCAGAGGAACCTCACCAGGAGATCTTAAAGGCTGCACTGGATGGGCTCGATGTCCTGTTTGGCCAGAAGGTTCGTCCCAGAAGATGGAGACTGCAAGTGCTGGATTTACGGAAAAAAATAGATACCAGCTCCTGGAATGCAGGATCAGGAACATTGGTTAGGTCATCTGTGTACTTCGCAGAAGAGCCAGTGTATGCTCAGCTTAGGCAAAGGAGGCAAAATATGGAGCATTCAAAGTTGGGTGAGAAGCAGCCAATTGTCTCTGTGCAGGTGCTCATAGACATGCGCATCAGGAAATGTGATGAATTCCTCACCTTTCTCATTGAGAGGGTCCGGCAGAGAAAAGGCTTGATGCGCCTCTGCTGTAAGAACCTAGCATTTGTGGACATGCCATCCCAAATATCACTCATTGAAAACATCCTGCAGGCAGTACAACTAGACTTTATCCAGATCTTGACCATAAACTGCACCTGGGATCTGTTCATCCTGGCAAGGATTGCTCCTTATCTGGGCTGCATGTTCAAGCTGAGAAGACTCATTCTCTGTAGAATCACCACGCGTTTCTTTAATTCTGAGGCGGAGGATCGGGAAGTGGAGACCTCACTGGCCCAGTTCGCCGCTCAGTTCTTCCATCTGCATCAGCTCAAGGAGCTCCTCCTGCTCTCTGTTCACTGCCTGGAAGGGCATTTGGATCAAGTGCTCAGCTGCCTGGCAAGCCCTTTGGAGACCCTCTGGATAACTGATTGCTTGATTTCAGACTCTGATTTGACCTATCTCACCGTCTGCTCGAATACCAGCCAACTAAATTCATTTCATTTGAGGGACGTTGTCCTGACTAATGTTAACCCTGAGTTACTTCAAAGTCTGCTGATGAGAGCCTCAACCACCCTCCACTTCCTGGACTGGAGTGGGTGTGGGATCACAGATTCCCAGCTCACTTCTATCCTGCCTTCCTTGGGACACTGTTCCCAGCTCCAATTCTTCAAGTTCTCTGGAAGTCTAGTTTCTATGACTGTCTTAGAGAGGCTACTGAGGTATACCCTCCCACTGTGCAATTTCCAGTGTCTGGAGCTCCCGGTCCCAGTGGAATGTTATGTGGAGAACACAGGTATTCTCCACCAGGACACTCTTGAATTGCATATGGACAAGATACGACAGATCCTGCAGGAGTTAGAGAGGTGTTCCCAGGATGTGAAGAGCTGCTATCATTCCAGCATAGCATACGACTCGATTGTCCTCAATTTTTAGATCTGATGTGATGATTCTTCATGTTGTGATGTTAAATCCTAACATGTGCCTGTGGTCCGTGTCTTCTTTGTGATTTCATGCTTCTGGCCCCTTAGAATACGAAAGAATGAATGTCTCGTTGTTCTAGCCAGCTGCTTGTGGTGTTTCTGTTACAGCAGCACTGGGTAATGAACACAGCCCCTTCCTAGCTGTCACACCAACAGGTTACTTAGCAACCTGGTGTCTCAGCTGCGTCATCTGATAAATGTCTATTAGTATCATGTTCCTCACAGGCTGGTTTTGAGAATTATATGGATGGTGTGAGTTAATTGCTCTTTAGAGAGGATGTGCATATTTCTATGCATCAGTGTTAATTACAACCTGAAAGGAAACTCCTTTGGGGGAAATAGAAGGGTAAAGAAAATCTAGACTGAAAAATGTTTCTTATAAAAATTATTTAATTGTTTGTGGAGTCCTTGTTGCTGATCATCAGAGTAGCATCTTGGAGCTTTGTCCATAATTTATTGTCTAGAGGACAGTGGTTTAGTAGATCTGACAATTTGTGAACAGGTTTGACAACATAATTAACTCCTCTTTCAAAGTTCTAGCCTCCAGATTAGGAGTGGTTAACATGTGAGGCTACAGATTCAAGTTAGCCCAGAGGCTACTGAAAGAAATATCTAGCAATCTGTCTCCAAAAGAGAAGTCTTGGTGATGTAGTAGTTACACATTGTACTGTAATCTGTAAGGTCAGCAGTTGGAAGTCACCAACCATCATCTGCTCCTGGGAGAAAGACAGGATTCTTTAGTCCTATCAAGTTTACAGTCTGAAAAACTCCCAGGAGTTTCTGCATTCTCTTTATCCTATAGGGTCAGTGTGAGTCACCATACTTAATAGAAATAAGTTTGTTTTTGTCATTTTGGTTAATTTTTGGAAATAACCAAAAGCAAATAATCAAAGGCAATGGCCACTGAAAACTTGCGAAGCAGAGATCTGCGCTAGTAGATTGTCAGCATGAGCTGGAGTCATTGTGATGACAACTGGTTCATGTTACTGAATTATTAGTTATTGTTCCTCTTGCTTGTAGAAAATAGGATAATACAATGTGGGAGGATGCTGTATCTTAGTTTCCTTAATGTGTTCTTTCAGAGGTCTTTTGTTCAAATAAAATCCAAGAGAATGAAATCACATTTAACATGTGTTTCCTCTTACTCTTATTCTTTAAGGAGAAAAATATCCCAACCCCGAAGGATTTAAAGGTATATAAATCTTTGTTGCAGTTTTAGATGAGAAATTCCTTGAATGAGGTGTTTTTGTTGCTGTTGATGATGATGATGCTAGGAGCCATTGAGTAGATGCCCACCCAAAGCAATCCCCTGCACACCAAAAAGAAGCACCCCTAGGGAGGAGACGAGCCAGACAGAGTGCGATGTAGCAACGATGAAAAATACAACTTTCCTCTAGTTCCTAAACTCTTCCTCCGCCCACACCCCCCACTATCATGAACCGAATTCAACCTTGCAAGTCTGGCTAGACCAGACGATGTACACTGGTACAGATAGGAACCGGAAACACAGGGAATCCAGGGTGAATGATCCCTTCAGGACCAGTGGTGTGAGTGGCGATGCTGGGAGCGTAGAGGGAGAGTGGGCTGGAAAGGGGGAACCAATTACAAGGATCTACATGTGACCTCCTCCCTGGGGGACGGACAACAGTAAAGTGGGTGAGGGGAGATGTTGGACAGGGCAAGATATGATAAAAATAATAATTTGTAGGTTGTCAAGGGTTCATGAGGAAGTGGGGGAGCAGGGAGGGAGGGGGAAAAAAAGAAGCCAGGGCTTAAGTGGAGAGTGAATGTTTTGGGAATGATGAGGGCAATGAATGTACAAATGTGCTTACACAATTGATGTGTGTATGGATTGTGATAAGAGTTGTATGAGCCCCTAATAAAATGATTTTTCAAAAAGCAAGAGAAAAAAGAAAGCAGATGTTTTGAGAACGATGAGGGCAACGGGTGTACGGATGTGCTTGACAATGGATGGATTGTGATGGGAGTTGTATGAGCCCCCAATAAAATGATTTTAAAAAGAAAAAAATTAATGAAAGAAAAAAGAAACACCCCTAGGCCCACGGTCATTCTCATAATTGTTATGTCAGAGGCCATTTTTACAGCCACGGTGTTCCATTTTTAGACCGAGTGCAATGACAGGATACTGCCTTGCAACTCCTTCAAACATAGCAATCCACTTGGAGTTATTAAAAATGATAAATGTGAAATAATCACATTTGTCCTGAGCCTGATACCTGACAAGCACCCATCTGAATGCTTTACCTTTATGAACTCATGCAAACTCCCATGAAGATGAGGAATTGGCTCATTCACTCTTCAAAACTCAGTCTTCCATTTATTGCCGACTCATAACAACCCTACGGGGCAAGGTAGAACTACCTCTGAATTTCTGAAACGTTAACTCTTTTATAGAGGTAGACAGCCCTGTCTTTTCCTGCAGTGTCTAGTAGTTTTGAACTACTGACTGTGCAGATCACGGCCAACCTTGTAACCACTGGACTCTTGGAGCTCCATTTTCTCCCTTCATCTTTCACATAATATTTTTTAATGCCAAATCTATTATCTCACACACTCCACCTTCCTCCAGCTTTCTTTTCTTTCCTCCCTCCTTCCATCCTCGTTCACTTTTCTTCATTCTGTGTCATCTTTCTTCCTTCAGCTAAGGAAGAGTTGGAAGATACCCTTACTTGAGTCCTCCCTATTATCTGTTTGAAACTGACCATTTTCTTAACATCTTGAGTTTGGTGTCTCTACTTCAAAAATGAGAATCATTGTTATGTCAAGAAATTGCGGAGGATTAAAATGGGTTTATGCACAATACAACTGAATTGCGGTGCTGGAGAAAAATATTGAAAGTACTATGAACTACCACAGGGGCAAACAAGTCTGCCTTTAAAGAAGTAGGCAAGTGTGCTCCTTAGAGGCAAGGCTGAGAAAGACTGAGTCCTACATACTTCATACATGTTGTGAGGAGAGGCTGCTTCCTGAAGCAGGACATCGTGCTTGGTAAAGTGGAGAGGCATCCCAAAAGAAGACTGTGAATGAGATGGATTGACACAGGGGCTTCAACAATCAACGCATGCAGAGGTATAATTATGAGGCTTTTGCAGGGCCGGGTAGTGTTTACATCTGATGCATATAGGGTCGCTATGAATTGGAACCAACACAAAGGCACTAGCAGCAACAACAATTAAATGGCTAGAACAGCTTCTCTTTGTGACGTAAGTGACGTTAGCTGGTATTAATCATGCTAGTACTCACAACTGCTTTTTCAGGTTCTCCTTGGTCAGTCTAGAGAGCATTCAACTCTGTGATGCTGAGTTTTCAAAAGAACTCTCAGGAGTAAGTTCTTAACTAAGACGCGTATTTCAATACAGGTCTCCACGTGGACATTTATCATTGCTTAAGTAATGATGTAGCATGCAAGCAGTGGGAAGTGGAAGTTCCTAGCTTTCAGGTCATCATCACTTTGCAGAGGATTATTTCATGTTACAGGTTATCAGATACATCAGGTAGATCCTCATGGAATGGTGGAGCAAAGATGTTCAATTCCATTTGTTTACTTTTCTTTTTTTTGGGGGGGGGGCCAATTAATTTTTAATTAATTAAATTTTTTTTGATAGAGTAATTTTTTTAAAACATTTTATTAGGAGCTCATACAACTGTTATCCCAATCCATACACACATCAATTGTGTAAAGCGCATTTTCACATCGTTTCTCAAAACATTTTCTCTCCATTTAAACCCCCGACATTAGGTCCTCATTTTCCCCCTCCCTCCCCTCTCCCCACTCCCGCATGAGCCCTTGATAGTTTATAAATGGGTATTTTGTCATATCTTGCCCTGTCCGACGTCTCCCTTCATTCACTTTTCGGTTGTCTGTACCCCAGGGAGGAGGTCACACACAGTTCCATGTAATCGGTTCCCTCTTTCCTACCCATTCTCCCTTTACCCTCCCTGTTTTGCCACTGCCCTCCCAACTTTCATTAAAACAGCTCAAGTAATTTTGCAAACTCACAAGCATATTCAAGTACTGTAGAAGGATTTTCTCTTTCCTGAGTGGGACAATGCACCAAGTTCTTCCTTTCTAATTTCACGTTCCACAGTATTGATTTCACATTAGAAAGGATGGAGCCAAGAAGCTGGATCTATACAATGGATACAACAAGGAGCACAGGAACCCTTGTGAGACTGGTGCAGGGGGCAGTGTCTTGTTCTATTGGTTCTGTGACGCACAGGGTCTCTATGGGTCTGAACCACTAAATGGCACCTACAAGCAGTAACAACTGTCTCAATGAGGCTTCCTAAAAGTCACTTTTTGGATCCCAAATTCTTCCGAACAACATTGATTTTACCCAGATACATTTGACCTTCCAATTAATTGAGATGAGTGTATATTGAGCTATCCTGGTGATACGGAATGGCTTTTTCTTTTTCATTACTGCTAATGTACCCCCAAATGAGGCACACTGATGTACCTTTGAATTCAACTAACAAATAACCATTTGTCCATTTCTCTTAGAAAAATCAACGTGCTGCATCAATTTTCCTTTGCTTTGTAGTCTCCCGTTGTAGGGTGTCCTAACGCTTAAATTTTAAGAACTATTCAGAGAGTGTGGCCTGAGGTGCTAACTTTACGTTGATTGCTTTTCTAATCCTACATCTTGGATTTGAAACATATTCGACATTGATAGCATTCACCCATGAGGTCTTCACTGTGCTGAGATTTGCAACTTCCTTTTGGTCATGAATGCACAGATAAAGTTGGATTGGTGTCAATGCCTGTGTCAGTGGAGACAAAGACAAAGCAACAACATTGTCGTGATGAAGAAAAAGAAAGCAAAACATTGTCGTCAATCATTGGAAGCAAGGTCATCAACTTCTCAAGGAATCATCTCACTGCATCTTATCTCATCATCACTGGATCACAGTAGTTTCACCACAGTGTTA